AAGCCGGCGGGGAAAGGGGTACGCTGGGGTTGCGCTCGGTGACGGGAAGAAAGATCGATAGGTGATCAGTCTATCGATCGGCAGCCGCAAGTCAGATAACTTCAGAGGCACTCTGCAGCGTGCTCAAAGCTCTTTGACTTGGGCGGAAGTCGCGCAGAATTTTAAACGGCCAGCGAGCCAATTACTAGCCGCCACGTGTGAATAATTTAGCACTGGCCAATAGCGGGGCACAAATTTACATTCGAATAGCGGGAACTCTTTGCACCGTGCATTTCTGTGCTGCAAAGAAGAAATGCATCCTGCAAAGGAAACTGCAAATTGGCGGGAACTCTCTCCTGCATGTGGGTTCTCAATTGCAGCAAAACCCTCGCTGTGCCAGAGGCTCTCATGTGGCTAGAGAATCCCATTGTGCCCAGGCACCAAAAATCACTGGGTTGTGACACTGCTGAGCACGCTGGAGACCTCCCAGCACTCCAGTGGGATGCTCCATCTGCTCCATTATCTCGGCGTTCATGAGCCACCTCGTTCCTTGAAGTATGTAAAAAAAAACATAAAGCTGTGTCTATGTCTGAATCGTTGACTGTCTCCAAATCTCTCTGAATCAAATCAGAGGCTTCCGATTTGATTCAGAGAGATTAATGGGTCTCCTGATTCGATTTGGATTCAGAGATTTGGCCACTGAATCAGGCCAGATCTCCGCTGAATTGAATCAGTGACCAAAGTTTCTCACAGCCCTATTGTCTACCTGCTTTGCCCATTCAAAATTACAGAGACAATATCTAAAGCCCTGCAAAGGATGCAGAATACAGCTGCTCTGATGATAGGCACTGGTAACTCACTTTCTACAGTTTTGACAGTTTTACTGCTTTAAGCAGAATTCTTGTAACAGAACAAAAAAATTATGGTACTCTAAAGAAGTGACCCAAACCCAGCTGAAGTCCAGGAAAGCCTCCCACTGATTTCATTGAGTTTTGGTGAGCCCATTAGAACTAAGTTTGAGGACTCCAAGTATTACTCCTAGCTCCCCTTCTATTCCTAATTTATCATCATCTGGTCCATATGTTGGACCAGAGACTGCTCTACAATCAATCACTGTAGCTCTTCAACTGGCTCAGAGAGTCATTAAAGATTAACGCAAGGTTTTTAAAGGAACTGAGAACTGTGACAGGATGTAGTCGAGTATGGAACATGGATAAGACACATACTGCCAAATCAATTTTCTCTCATATGAGGGCATTGATGGATAGCACAAAGAGCCTTTCCCTCCATTTCTGTCCATGTAAAGGGCCAACCATAGTATAGTTTCTCTGCTGACGTGAACACAGGGATTAATCTCTATCTGCATTTCCACAGCCACAGAGTACGCAAAATGGAAGAGGTGAGGCCATAGTATACTCCTCCTTTCTGGCTCACAAAGCAAGACTGGTACAGGGAGACAGCCTGTTTATCCCAAGAGTTCTGTACTCATGAGGGCAACAACACATGAAGCAGTGGCACAGTAGGTGGGGGAACAGTAGCAGGGACTGCTATGTTCGTGCCCTCTCTAAACTCATGAATGTGACTGTTGCCCCAGTTGCCTTCTCTTAGTTACACTACTGACATCAACACAGAGCTTGATGAAGAGTACTCCCCAATCAGGCAACACAGCACCATACTGACTAAAATAGAAGTGCTTTAAAGCTACTATATAGCCCTGACAGCAGCTAGATTTTGGAATCCTTTACAGGTGTATGTTAATTTTAATCTTATGCTGCTATATGATAGCTCTTCATCATCATTTATTATCTTCCACTTAAATCTTCAAATTGAAAGTGAAGGAGGATGTAAAATCAAAACAGTTTTTGAGATTCATATTTTTAGAAAATTGAGGCATTCAGCATGTCTTGGACTGAATAGTGGTTTCCAAGCGGTAATTATTCCACTTGCAGCAGTAAATATGTGCACTGAGTAAATGAGGATTTAAACTATGGATCAAGCTATGCTGCCAAAAAATAATCATTTCTTGCAAATGTTTTGTATTTCTCTCGAACAGCCAGAGAGCCACTGTTCAATGTCTGTTTCTAACTTGGGTTATTTGTTCCTGTGAGTTAAAACAAAACCAAAAAAATTATACATCCAGCCTTATCTTTTGAATTTTAAGAAGTTCAGAGTCCTTGATAGTTTTCCTGTGTATACTCACAGGTCACTGAAACAGCTATAAAGCATATAGGGTAAAATTCACAGTACTTGCACACAACAGAGTAAATGGGCTGAGGTACCCTGTGCTAAGCTTGGACAGATGGGAGGAATACATTTCCAAACCCACAGGTGAAAGAGGGACCATGATCTATGGATACCATTACTGCGATTTCGTACCCCTAGATGCATTCAATCCTGTAGCCTCTGGCTCTGATTCCTCCATTTCTCTGTCTCCTCAGGCTACATGGTGAATGTGCATGGTGCCCTGTTCTGCTGTTCTGGGCCTTTACTTCACAGCTGCCTCCTATCCTCATGAAATGGAACGTTGGTGTTCCTTCTGGATCATTGTCTTTCAGTTCATAGTACAGCTGGATTTCATTGTTAGAGCAATGACTCCAACCTCTGGCTCAAGAGTCACTTGCAGTTTTCCGAAGCTCTGCCTGAAATATGCACAGTCCAGAGGTCTGAATTCAACTCTTCTTGCACTGTTTTCTTTGAGAAGTGAAAACTGGATATGAATGACTAAGGGATGCGCAAAGCAAACAGTCAACAGCTGGGAGCAGAAGGTCTCTCTCAGTAGCCAGGAAGTGGGCATAGTGGGTGACAGAGAGAAAAGAAAATGATTCTTCGCACCATGAGTTATTAAGCTCTGGAATCCATTTCCACAGGTTGCTGAGGCCAAGAGCTTGACAGATCCAAAAGCAGCTATTTATGTGGTTATCAGAAATAAAAAGAGTTCTAATTGATTACAACAAATCTTCTGGGAGGCATATTAAATGTCACCCTTCAGAGTTAAGTACTGGAGATCAAGATGAAACCTGTTGAGGTAGGGGCAAGGGTGTTGTCCCCAAAGGACAGTGAGTTCGTGCCCGGTGCGCTTGTGCCAATAAACACACAGGGGTGAAGGATCCAACTTAATCTTTATTTCTGCACAGAAAGTGGCGCTTGGCAATCGTTCTCAAAGCAAGCACCCCCACCCCAGTGGGCATCTGCCTTATATAGCTACGTAACAGGTTAAACTTGCTGATGTGATGAAATGTGTAGCAAGCCCAGCAAGTAACCCCCCTTCCAGCTCCCCCCCAAGTAACCCCCCTTCCAGCTGCGGAACTTTGTTGATACAGCTTTTCCTCTAGCGAGGCCAGCAATTAAACAACTAAGCAACAAGCGATCTCCCCCAGCCTAAACAACCTACTCTATGCCCTTGGTTAGATAAAATACTTTTTTCAAAACATACAAAGCTGTTCCTGAAGTAGAAAATGCATAGTAAAAGTTCAGGGGATCTCTGCTAGACATGGCTTCCAGCCTTACTTCTGTCCCTAGGGGTTTAGCCAGGTGCCCCTGAAACAAGGGGTGCTTATCAAGGGGGTAGATTATCCCATATTTCAGTACTATGGGGTTCTTCCACTATCCTCTTTAGTTTCCTCTGCTTCTGAGCTCTGCTAGAAACAGGATTCTGGACTTGATGGCATTGTACAAACATGCAACAAAGGAAAGGTTCCTACCAAAAGACTTATCAGGGTGTAAACACATGACACATTTACTACAGAGTAAATTGTCTTTACACTGCAGAAGAAAAGGAACAGATCCACGATGCCTTATGTCACAACAAGTCTCTCTTTTGTGGGATGCAATTACCTCTTGAAAAATACTGGTGTAACTTTAGCACAAGGCTAAAGATGGAGTTAATGTTATACATCTGCTCCCTTACTCAAGTTTGCCCTGGTGTATCTGTTTACCCAATGCAAATGGGCTCTCCCACCACCTCGCAAGCTAATATAACAGCCCAACTTGCAGATATAGCTTGGGGTAGTTGGCTGTGTCCACTCCTTTCTATTGAGTAGAAGAAAAAAAAATTCCATGGTAGATAACTCCCTAGTAACCAAGTTGTACCTATGACTCCAGTCTGAGCCTGAGAGAGACTGAGTACAAGACAGATATAGCTGGCTGAATCCTTGTCTAGTAAGAATCAATAGTGCAATAAGCAGCATTTGCGGTACTCTA